TACTCGAGCTATTATTGACCATCGAATTAGCATGGTTATTATTAAATCATGCACGGGAGGGGAAAAGATAAACCGTTTCAATGACAAATCGTGGGAAAGGTGAACGCGATCCACACCACCGCCTTCACCCTTTCGAACTTTGCACACAAGGAAAATCGATCCTCCTCGAGATTTAGTTTTATTTAGAAGATGGATAATACGATGGAGATATAGATCAATGGTAAACGATTCTACACTATATTTTCGAGGAATAATTAAATACACGCACAGTTGCAATTCTATATAATAATAAACTTCTTGTTGAAATCTTTTTCTCAAATTGATTCGTGTAAAATATTTTTTTTTTTTCGCATACTTTGCAAGATCTTTTAGAAACGTATCTACTATCGATAGATAAGCGAGACGAAGAGATAAGACGGCGTCACTGAAATTTCTCGGAATTAGAGCGATGCGTTTTGCAGGAGGGATACTCCTCTGATAACTTAATCGTATTCCGAATTAAAAGCAAAAAATCGGCTAAGGTAAAGAGTTGACTTGGGACCGCCTGAGAGAAGCTCGTCTACGAATCAGAATACTGCATTACGAAATTTCATAAATTCTCTTTAGACGGCTCTTAGACGGTTCGCGCTCTCAAGAACCGTGTTTTTCACTTGAAATAATAATCAATTCGCGTGAACGTAAATTCTCGTCCGCTATCGTCCGCCTCCGTCTCTCCACGACATTCGACCCTCTCTCAACCCGGAATCCTCGAATCACAAGAACACAATTCGTAGATTCGAGAAACGAAGGAATCGGGAAAAATCGATAAATGAATATATATATATATATATATATCGAGAAAAAAAAGTATATTCCGAAGCGAATGTTTAGAACGGTTCAAACGAATGAAGCGGTGAATAATAGAAAATGGTAGACAGTAACTGTAAGGGAGCAAGTGTCCCCGATTATAACAAAAGTGAAGGGGCGAAGCTCGGCTCATTTGTTATTAACCAACGTAGCGGAGCGTCGAAGTGCAGAAAGACTCGGAACACGACTTCACACTTTGACTCGCAACCCTTGGTAAATTTAGTTAATTATCAGTCAAACTTTCGCGAAGAAGAAGAAGAAGAAGAAGAAGAAGAAGAAGAAGAAGAGCAGCATCGCTTCCTCTCCTCCTCGTCCCCTCCCTCTTTCCCGGATGAAAAACTTTATCGTTTTCCACCCATCCATCCCTCCCTCCCTATCTCTTCCCTGTCCACCGGAAAAATTATCACAAATTTTCCACGAATTATCCCCTCAAAATTATCTCATCCAACACATTCCCCATTTCGATCACCCGATTAATTTCATTTTCGAATCCTCCTTCGAATCTACGTCCCATCTATCCATAATCAAACGGCCGCCAATCCGCGGCCTCTCGAAAATCCCGAACACCGATCGACCGACCGAGCGACCAACCGATCGATCGATCCATCCTCGCCGATTCCGCGGCCTCTCCAGTTTTGCGGTCGATTTACAATCGTACTGGCCGATGATCAATCTGGCCGGGTTGTATCCTATCCGGTCGATGCTCGATCACTCGCTTGTCTCCTCGTGGCAGGAGGAGGAGGAGGAGGGGGAGGAGGAGGGCGCACGCAGCGGCGGATTGCGTGGACCCGGTTACGCCGAATCGAGGATGCCAAGGAAAATCAATTAGCCGGGCAAACTGTTTCGACTGTGCGGCTGTTTGCCCGCGCTGGAGAGAGAGTCGTCCAATGTGTTTCGTATCTCGGAACACGGGATGTACGTATATATATGTATATATATATTCCGCCCCCCTCTCCTCTCCCTGTGTTTTCACGTGGCACGCCCGCGCGCCCCCCCTCCTTTATGTTTGCAACCGGCGCAGCCCGTGCCACGGACACAGGCATCCTTGTAACCCGCGCGTATATCCGCGAATATGTACATACGGGAACGAGAATTCGAAATTCTAGGGGAGATTGAAATACACGTAATAACGTGGATAAACGATGGATGAAAAGTTTTTCTCTTTTTTTTTTCCCCTCCTCCTCCTCCTCCTTCGTAAGTTTTCCACGAAACAGCGGCCGATGGAAAAGGGTATTGCGAAAAGAATAGTGCTTTTCGTGCTTTTGTGCGTATATATAGGTCGAAGAAATATACTTTCTTTCTTTGTCTCTTTTTCTTTTTTTCTTTTCTTTTGGAATAGTCGGTGGATTATCGAGGATCGAAGTCGAAAGGGCGAATCGGATTGATTGGAAATTGATTGACGAATCGATATCGGGTTTAACGAATGCGCGAGAATGAGAAATTGGCGGCTACGCGTCTCTTGTGCGTGCACCCGCGCATGCGCTTGCGTCGCGTGTCATCGATGTTGTCCAAGCTTGGTATTTGCGCTCGATGCCGGTGTGCACAGCTCGAAGCAAAGCATACGCGATGCGTCGTCTCCTCGCGCGCGGACGTACACAATGCAGTTGGAGTGGGCGCGTTGATTGATGACATGTCCCCTCCCTCCTCCCTGTACAGGGACGGTATAAAGAGAGAGAGAGACGCACACACGCGAATTCACGCGTGGCGCGAGTTTGCACAACCGAGTTTCCCCTCGAAAAATTTGCGAAACGCGGCCTTTTTTTTTTCCCTCGACTACACAACAGTTTCGTTGTAAACATCTAACATAGGGAGTCCATTGTTGCCCTCTGAACCGTTGAATAATTGGTACACCCGCAATTTTGGCCTTCGCCGAACAAGCATGTATTAAACAACGTTTCGGATATAAACCGTGGAATAATGAACAAACGTATGATTATTCCATAGGAACGCGGCACGAATAACTCCGGCTTCTTTGATCTGAGCAGCTCGGTTAATCCCTTAAATAACTCCTATGCTTGTCTTGCGTCCTACGAATAGTGAACAAACGGGAAAAAAACAAAGAAAAGAAATAGATAGATCGTTCCCTCGATCTATCGCTTTTTCATCGATCCTTGAAACCTCGTCCATTTCGTGGCGAAAATTCGCAATGCCATTACCAGTATCGATCAATCGCCTCGAAAATTTACAATTATCATCTTGATTGCTTGTCCTACGAATGGTGAACAAACGGGAAAAAAAGTAAAACAAAGAAAAGAAATAGATAGATCGTTCCCTCGATCTATCGCTTTTTCATCGATCCTTGAAACCTCGTCCATTTCGTGGCGAAAATTCGCAATGCTATTACCAGTATCGATCAATCGCCTCGAAAATTTACAATTATCATCTTGATTGCTTGTCTTGCGTCCTACGAATGGTGAACAAACGGGAAAAAAACAAAGAAAAGAAATAGATAGATCGTTCCCTCGATCTATCGCTTTTTCATCGATCCTTGGAACCTCGTCCATTTCGTGGTGAAAATTCGCAATGCCATTACCAGTATCGATCAATCGCCACGAAAATTTACAATATCGACGTATCATCTTGATTTCTTATTTACACGGAGGAGCCGCGTGTATATTTGATCAGGGACAAGCTTGGCAATAAGATGGCGTGAAATATTAAACACACACGCGACGTATACATGTATGTATGACGATTATGGAGAAATAAGTAAGCGAAATAAAGCGGGGATGGAAAAATCTGTAGAGGAGGGATAATGAAAACTGTCGATACGGATGGCGTATATGAAGTATTCATGCCAGTCGCGACTTTTATAATGACGCGAATCATTGTCATCGGTATCGATCCTTCCTCGAGCTTTCAAAATTGGCCGACGGTTTAATGAGAACGATATTGAATTACCTAATTCTGCCCTGTTCCTAAAATGACTCGTTTAATTTGTGACGCCGGCGTCGCGACGCCGGTATGGCCCGATTCTGTCAATCTTAGTGCCGCCCGCTTTAAATATACATATTACGCGATTGCCAGGAATAAAATATGCAGGCCAGATGAATATTAACCCCCGCTGACAGGTAAACCGCGTCGATATGCACGAATTTCTCTGTCGGCCAGGAGAAATATTTCGCCGCCGCCTCGGTTATCAAGGAAGGGAGGGAGGAGGAAAAAGCGGATTTTCCCAATTTTTTTTCCCGGATAATCAATGAATATTTTCTTGGTATAATTGCGCGAAGATCGAAGGTAAAATTAAAAGTTTGCCCCTTTTTACAAAATGAGGCTTTGAGGGAGAAATTTTAGGGGAGGGGGAAAACAAAATGGAAAAAGGAAAGTATTTATATTTTCGTGAAAATATATCGATCGCGTTGTTCTTCCAGTTATGGAGGGCGAAATTGTTTTGAATTGGATATTTTTATCACGGAGATTTGTCGCGACAAATTTTTTCGATAATTCAGAGATATATCTTTATTAGAAACGAAATACGACGGTGAAAGATCTCTGTGAATATAAAAGTTCCCTTCCAAAAGTATTTAATATTTAAAACTGTCTAGTCTAGACAGACTATTGGGGTCAAAGCGTCACGTTGTAAAATCTTTCCAGTTTTCCATTCTCGGCTGGATTTCTAAGCGGTCGACACCTATTTCTAGGAGTCAATGACATTTAGATCGCGCGACAAGGATCCTCCTCGAATACGTTCGAATATATCTCGAATATATCGCATTCCCTATATATACCCTATATAAATATATATTTCATAAATAATTAATTAAACACATTTGTTAATTCTTAATTACGATAAAATTCTTAATACGATTGTGCAAAAAAATATTATTACCCGGGGAAACAGATATTGTTAGAGAATAAATGAACAAAAATATATGTTTTGGAAAGTGGAACGCTTAAAAATCGACAATTTTTTCGTTTTCCAGAGTCGTATATTGGAAGATGCCTCCATTATGTGCAATTCCTGGTCGCCGAGGCATAACGTGAGTATAACCTCTTAATAATTTTCCCCTCTTCTGAATCATTCGTATCCGAATCGTATCCAACTACAATTCTACCAGCATGCTCACATTGTCCTTACCAAAAAAAAAAAAAAAAATAAAAAAATTGCCTCACGCGATTGCTTCACTCTCGAGGTACAATTAAAGCGGTGGAGCAGGAAGAAACAAAGTTGTGAACGAAGGGAAAGAGAGTGGTGTATAACACGGTTGGCTTTATACGAAACGCTCCCGTAATATTTATGGTTCGCGAAGCCGCGTAGTTACGGTGGGCTTGGCTGACGTAAACTCGCTAACTCGTGGTTACGATTATGGCCAGTGGTAAATTGATTATTTAGATGTACGATGAGGTGGCGCGGGATAGTTTGAGTGCCGTAAAAAGAGCCACGCGTCGCTTACGTTGTTCCCGCAAATATAACAACGCCCGAGCACAAAACGCTTCCAACCAACGCTTTCGTCGTCGAGCAACTCTTGTTTCCTCGTGGCCACGTTTCGTTCATAGAAATCTATGGTTAAAAAATTTCGAGTGATTCAAAACGTATTCACTGTTCACTGCTGAAAGGAAGCGTAAGAAGGGTTCTTTGCTAGGATCTTCGCTTCAGACGCTTCGTTGACGTTACACAGTAGTGGAAGAGCTATAATTTTGAATATTCAAAATTAAAAAATTATGAAGTTATTGAAATATTTAATATTTGAAATATTTAAATAAAACTATCTATGATGATGTATAGATTATTTGTATACATTTAATTATTATCTACTCAAATACAAATTATATTATTGTTACAAATTATAAATTAATGTAAATGTGTAGATATAAATATCTGTTGAAAGAAAGTATAAGAAGGATTATTTGCTAGGATTTCCATTTCAGACACTTTGACGTTATATAGAAAGAGCTATAATTTTGTCTAAGTTATTTGTATATTTATATTCAATTATTATCTTAACTACTCGAATACAATTATATTAATAGTACAAATTATAAATTATAAATGAATGTAAATGTATCTTTGCTAGGATCTTCTCTTCAGACGCTTTGTTGACGTTATATAGAAAAAGATATAATTTTGAATATTAAAAATTAAAAAATTATAAAGTTACTGGAATTTGAAATATTTAAATGAAACTATCTATGATGATGTCTAGATTATTTGTATACATTCAATTATTATCTACTCAAATACAAATTATATTATTGTTACAAATTATAAATTAATGTAAATGTGNTAGATATAAATATCTGTTGAAAGAAAGTATAAGAAGGATT